CTATACTACAAAGCCACAGTCATCAAGACAGTATGGTACTGGCACAAAGACAGAAATATAGATCAATGGAACAGAATAGAAAGCCCAGAGATAAATCCACGAACCTATGGTCACCTTATCTTTGACAAAGGAGGCAAGGATATACAATGGAAAAAAGACAACCTTTTTAACAAGTGGTGCTGGGAAAACTGGTCAACCACCTGTAAAAGAATGAAACTAGAACACTTTCTAACACCATACACAAAAATAAACTCAAGATGGATTAAAGATCTAAATGTAAGACCAGAAACTATAAAACTCCTAGAGGAGAACATAGGCAAAACACTCTCCGACATAAATCATAGCAGGATCCTCTATGACCCACATCCCAGAATTTTAGAAATAAAAGCAAAAATAAACAAATGGGACCTAATGAAACTTAAAAGCTTTTGCACAACAAAGGAAACTATAAGCAAGGTGAAAAGACAGCCCTCAGATTGGGAGAAAATAATTGCAAACGAAGCAACAGACAAAGGATTAATCTCAAAAATATACAAGCAACTCCTCCAGCTCAACTCCAGAAAAATAAATGACCCAATCAAAAAATGGGCCAAAGAACTGAACAGACATTTCTCCAAGGAAGACATACAGATGGCTAACAAACACATGAAAAGATGCTCAACATCACTCATTATCAGAGAAATGCAAATCAAAACCACAATGAGGTACCATTACACACCAGTCAGGATGGCTGCTATCCAAAAGTCTACAAGCAATAAATGCTGGAGAGGGTGTGGAGAAAAGGGAACCCTCTTACACTGTTGGTGGGAATGCAAATTAGTACAGCCACTATGGAAAACAGTGTGGAGATTTCTTAAAAAGCTGGAAATAGAACTGCCATATGACCCAGCAATCCCACTTCTGGGCATACACACCGAGGAAACCAGATCTGAAAGAGACACGTGTACCCCAATGTTCACCGCAGCACTGTTTATAATAGCCAGGACATGGAAGCAACCTAGATGCCCATCAGCAGACGAATGGATGAGGAAGCTGTGGTACATATACACCATGGAATATTACTCAGCCATTAAAAAGAATTCATTTGAATCAGTTCTAATGAGATGGATGAAACTGGAGCCCATTATACAGAGCGAAGTAAGCCAGAAAGATAAAGACCATTACAGTATACTAACACATATATATGGAATTTAGAAAGATGGTAACGATAACCCTATGTGCAAAACAGAAAAAGAGACTCCTATGTATAGAACAGACTTGTGGACTCTGGGAGAAGGCAAGGGTGGGATGTTTCAAGAGAACAGCATTGAAACACGTATATTATCTAGGGTGAAACAGTTCACCAGCCCAGGTTGGGTGCATGAGACAAGTGCTCGGGCCTGGTGCACTGGGAAGACCCAGAGGGATTGGGTGGAGAGGGAGGTGGGAGGGGGGACTGGGATGGGGAATACATGTAAAAAAAAAAAAAAGATACACTATGGTTGTGATTAAAAAAATAATTAATTAATTAATTTTAAAAAAAAATAAAACTACAGATATTGACAATATACTTTAAGAAACATTCTGTAATTTCACAGAAATAGGAGCTAAGGAAAAAATGAAAGTATATAGTCTAATATTTTCACATCACATATATGCTATTATTCAATCGCTGAAGGACATGTTTCATGACAGCCAAATATCCTGAATTTAAATTGTTCCATATATCCATACTGAGACATAATGAATACACTGCAATAAGATGAAATGTCTAGGAACAAAATGTTGGCTTCCATAAGGAACACTTAGTTTGGCTTTTAAATTTGGTGAATTTCTATAGGAATTTCTGTTTCTTTTGCCAACTGACATGTATGTTACTCAATTTAGCCTTTAAAGAACACTTGCAACTGAAAACAAACTAACTTACCAATTCCGAAAGTACCACAGAGATACAGTTCCAGCCCTCTCAATTTTATTCACCTTATGTGAGTGTCCTAAGCTCGTTCCCTATCTCATTTCCAGTTCCTGCCTTTAACACAGTACTGGGCATTGGAACCTGGGTATGTAGACTAAGGATGCAGGTTGCATGGAGTGAGTACATAAGTTGACTTCAGCATTGGAATATCCTTAAGTTTTCCTTAAGCAAGAAGATGCTTTCTCTTGGTAACTTCAAAGACCTTCACAGGGTACTGAAGACTGGCATTGTGTCTAGCTGGTAGGATGATATAGGAAGGCAATTTCAAACTCTCAAGATTCCTTCTGAATATAATGTTTTGGCTCTATGACGGAGAGTTCATTATGAAAGCATGAGATTGGTATGAAACCGCAGTAAAGCTGGTCTGGTGAAAATGGTTTACCTGGCTGAAGTCTCTGGGGAATGTTCGTCCTGTACTGTTAGTTAGCTGATGTTGCCTGGCTGCCCAGAGTTGACAATCCTCAGGGAAAATGCATATGAAGGACAATGTAGGAGGAAACTTAATCTGCCTCTTTTATAACTTCTCATAAATGACAGAGCTCAGATAATTCCCTAAACTTCCCAGTTATCTTAGCTCTCCTCTTTTAATGGCTTAGATATTTCACTAAAACTTGAGATTTTTTTATACAATTGCCAAAAAAATATTCTCCATATATAAATAAGAACTCATTCAGTTATTTAATTTTAAATGTAAATTAATTTTTATCTAATATTCATAACCAACTTTTAATGGATCACAGAGTTCCATTCAGTTCAGTCCATTCAATTCAGTTCCATTCAGTTCAGTCGCTCAGTCATATCCGACTCCTTGCGACACCATGAACCACAGCACACCAGGTCTCCCTGTCTATCACCAACTTCCGGAGCTTAACCAAACTCATGTCCATTGAGGTGGCGATGCCGTCCAACCATCTCATCCTCTGTCATCCCCTTCTCCTCCTGCCTTCAATCTTTCCCAAAATCAGGGTCTTTTGAAATGAGTCAGGTCTTCACATCAGGTGGCCAAAATATTGGAGCTTCAACTTCAACATCAGTCCTTCAAATGAACGCCCAGGACTGATTTCCTTTAGGATGAACCGATTGGAGCTCCTTGCAGTCCAAGGGACTCTCAAGAGTCTTCTCCAACACCACAGTTCAAAAGCATCAATTCTTCGGCAGTCAGCTTTCTTTATAGTCCAACGCTCACATCCATACATGACTACTGGAAAAACCATAGCCTTGACTAGACGGACCTTTGTTGACAAAGTAATGTCTCTGCTTTTTAATATGCTGTCTAGGTTGGTCATAACTTTCCTTCCAAGGAGCAAGTGTCTTTTAATTTCGTGGCTGCAGTCACCATCTGCAGTGATTTTGGAGCCCAGAAAAATAAAGTCAGCCACAGTTTCCCCATGTATTTGCCATGAAGTGATGGGACCGGATGCCATGATCTTAGTTTTCTGAATGTTGAGCTTTAAGTCAACTTTTTCACTCTCCTTTTTCACTTTTATCAAGAGGCTCTTTAGTTCTTCACCTTCTGCAACACTAAAATCATTAGGAGATAAAAAAGTAAATCAATAGAAGAGGCAGACACAAAATCTCTACCTAAGCCCCACCCTTGGAGCCACAGTATACAATCAGGAGGGAAGTCACCACTGCCAGTTTCTCCCTGAGAAACAAAGTGTTCCACGTCTGGGAACCTCACTTTGAAGGCTTACAGCTGAGACATGGGCCTCCAAAACATACCTCTGAAAGTCAATGAAGTTTGTGTCCATGAAATCCATGAGGCTATAATGAACTAAGTAACAGGCTCACCCAGACTCACTGTGCCTATCTCTCCAGGGCACAGCACACAGACACAGACGGAAACCTACAGCTGGTCCCTGAAAGAAGTCTATTTCCTTATCTTTTAAAGCTAAGACTTCTAACACATATCTAGGGGTCAACTGCAATCCTCACCAAACACCTGAGAAGCCAACAGGTGCCATCATCATGCTCTCCCTCTGTCCCACCCCAGGTCACCAGTGTCTCTGTGAAAAGAATTTGTGCACCTGTATGGCCGCCCAGGTGTTGTGGCTGCTGCCAGAGGGCACACTCCTTGATCACCTGGTTCAGTGACTTGTGTTTCTGGGTCCAACAGGACAGTAGCGAAAAAGAAACAGCCTGTAACTGGCTACCTGCACCCACCCACCCAGGGCTCAATGTGGAGGGAACAGACAGAAACACCCATCTCCCAGTCTTCTCCTGAAAGAGGAATAATTGCATATTTGAAAAGTTATTGCCTCAAGGTCTGGTAGATTGCCTGCGACGGCAACAATTACCTTGCTCTGAATGAGGACCTGAGCTTCTGGACCACAGGGGATGCAGCGGCTCAGATCTCCAGCCTCAAGTTTGCGCAGGGAGGTGCTGCGGGCCACAGTAGGAACGACCTGGAGGGGGACTGCGGAGAGTGGCTCCACAGACACCTGGAGAATGGGAAGGACACTCTGCTGCATGCAGGTACGAGGGGCGTGGGGCCTCCCTGATCCCCTCTCGGGCTGGACCTGGCTTCCCACGAGGAGAAGAAAGTGAGGTCAATGTGGAAACAGCGCCCCAGTTCCTGTCAGCAGAGGGAGGAATCCACCCAGGTTTTCATATTCTGTACAAGAGAGTGACTCGCCAGTGGCCCCACTTCTCTGAAGGACAATTAAGGAATCCAGTCTCTTTGGGGAAGAAGCAGGAACCCAGCCCTGAAATAACTGGTCAGCGCTGCCCCTTCACCCTGGGTGCCATCTTGTGAACCATGACTGTCTCTCAGGGCCAGGTCTCACCTGAGAACATGTTTGGAGGCCTGACTCCAGCTTTTCTGAGTCATTCGGCCTCCACCCAAGTCAGGACCATTACTCTGCATTCTCTCCCTTACATGGTGCCTCCTACCTTGACTCTCACCCTGACTCCAGAACTTTCCAAGGACTCGGGAACATGCCCAGACCTCTGAGTCCAGGCTGGTGTCTGGTGTTGTGCTGCTTCTTTTCAAACCCACTGTCCTGTTTATTCTCAGGATAGTCACAGGATGCTGCTTCAGGGACCCATGGAGGTTAACACTAAATGGGAATTTTCTGATTCATCCTCCACAGACCCTCCAAAGACATATGTGACCCATCACCCCATCTCTGACCATGAGGTCCCCCTGAGGTTTTGGGCCCTGGGCTTCTACCCTGAGGAGATTTCACTGACCTGGCAGCATGACATGGAGGACCAGACCCAGGACATGGAGCTTGTAGAGCCCGGGCCTTCAGGGAATGAAACCTTCCAGAAATGGGCGGCCCTAGTAGTCCCTTCTGGAGAGGAGCAGAGATACAGGTGCCATGTGCAGCACAAGGGGCTTCAGGAGACCCTCACGCTGAGATGGGGTAAGGAGGAGCCTGGGGTGGAACTTCTTCTCAGATAAAGCTGGAGCCTTTCTGGACCCCTTCGGCAAGGTCAACTCAAACCTGAAGTCTGGGCCCCTTCTCTTTCCTCCACAGTACCTCCTCGGCCCTCTGTCCTCAACGTAGACATCATTGTTAGTCTGGTTCTACTCATGGTCATTGGAGTTTTGGTAACTGGAGAGTTGCACTTTAAAGAAAACTGAGTGCCAAAGAATTGATGCTTTGGAGCTGTGCTGTTGAAGGAGACTCTTAAGACTCCCTTGGCCTGCAAAGAGATCCAACCAGTCCAATAAAGGAAATCAGTACTGAATATTCATTGGAAGATCTGATGCTGAAGCTGAAACTCCAATACTTTGGCCACCTGATGCGAAGAACTGACTCATTGAAAAGACCCTGATGCTGGGAAAGATTGAAGGCAGGAGGAGAATGGGACGACAGAGGATGAGATGGTTGGATGGCATCACTGACTCAATGGACATGAATTTGAGTAAACTTCGGGAGTTGGCAATGGACAGGGAGGCCTGACGTGCTGCAGTCCCTGGGGTCGCAAAGAGTTGGACACGACTCAGCAGCTGAACTGAACTGAGCCAAATCTTTAACATTTGTTGTCTCAGGGCCTGTTGGGGGAAGGATTTTCTAATACACTTTCTGAAAGCCTATTAACAACTTCCACATTTTATAATTCCCTGAATCTCCTGGAGAATTGTCTGTCAGGTACATTATCCCCAGGGTTGATACTGGGAAACCCACATGGGGATAAGTAACTATTACTGGAGTTGAGGGAGACTGGGTTCCCAGAGGCTACAAAGAAGCTGTAAATTTCAATGTAAGGAAGTCCTGTGGTCACTCCAGTTCTCACAAAGCCAGACATACACTTCACAAGAATCATTCCATCTCTCATCCTTATACATCTGGAGGCAAAGGCAATATTCTCTCTCTTTTATTTTTCCCATTATGCTGGAAGCTGACTTGGAAGCCAATAGCTCTTCCCAGAAGACACTTGCATCCTGACATGAGCATCTGGTAAGTATGATGACCTTTACCTGCTCAAAGTTGTTAAGAAATGAGTCAACTTGAAGATGAGCACTGTGTGACTCTCTTCCTTTTTTTCAAATCTACTTTTTTCTTCTCTCTCTGCAGGCAGGTTTCCTTTGTTATTCAGTCCACACAGCATGAAGTGGGCAATAGCTTAAATTCTAAATTTTCATGTCCTCTGCCTAAGAGCTAACCATGCTTCACCTGACCATCCCCCACCACCCTTCAAAGACCCCTGACTGAAAGGGCTGAGTCTTTGATGAAAGGATGGAGATAATCACAGGGGCCACTTTCTCTTGGAGATTTCTCTTTAAGTAGAAGAGAAAGATCTACACACTAGAGGTAGCTACTTTAAGGTAGAGAGACCTTCTACACTTTAAGTGCAAAGTGGTGAAAGCCATTGGCATTTTGGGACCCAGAAAACTCAGAGCTGCATCAACATTAGTCACATTGGCAGGTCTGAAGCACTGGTGCCCGACATAGCATCATTTTTGTCAAAGCAGGCACTGGCAGAACAGTAGTGATGAGCAACTTAGATGAGAAGAGGAAGGAAATAAAGGGTTCTGTTCACCAGGGAGGGGTAACAGAGTTCATGTGAGAACTTCTGGAGACTCTAGATAGAAACGGTAGCAAATAATAAAAGCAGAGATTTCTTTTGTGCCAGCCAGATATAGAGCTGAGGCAAAGTGCAGAGAGAAGAAACCTCCCAAGAATGACTTTTAATAATTTTCTTCCTTCTGCTCTTGCAAAGCTCAGAGCCTGACTTCCCCTCCAGCTTTGCCCACTTGATATCCCGTGGTGAAATGCTTAAGTCTCCACAGATGTCAGAGAACACTTTTTCAGCAAACATTTCTGAATGGCCCCCTATGTGGCAAGAGCAATGCCAAGTGATATGATACAGCTCTAGCCTGTGTTTCCTGAAACTGTATCAGCCCATAGGCCCAAGAGTGATAATAAACAACAGGCTGTTGTTTTATCTACTATTTTATTTACTATTTCAACCCCACCTAGGACTTCCCAGGTGGCTCAGTGTTAAAGAATCCACCTGCCAATGCAGGAGACACGGGTTCAGTTCCTGGGTCAGAAGATCGTCTGGAGAAGGAAATGGTGAACCCACTCCAGTATTCTTGGCTGGGAAATCCCATGGACAGGGGAGCCTGGTGGGTACAGTCCACAGGGTCACAAAAGAGTCAGACAGGACTTAGCGACTAAACAACAACAACAATCCCTGCAGTCTGGGCAAAATGAATTGTTTCTGGCAGTTCCCAGGAAGTTATTCCATGAGCTCTGTGTTCTCTGGAGTTTAAAGCACCTGTGCCTCTCTCCACTTTGCCTATCTCGGTGTAGAACACCTTTCTCTTCCCTTGAGTTTCATTACTCAATCACTGAAAAAATAGCCCAAGAGAGGCCCTCCAGTATCTTTAGCTTCTGCCACCAGACTCTCTAGCCCTTTGGCTAAGACACAAGACAGTGGGGCTGGGTGAAGAATCAGTAATAGAATCAGAGATGGTGTTGTCTGGCATCCTCTGACATGCATCTCATTCTACCCCAAAATCAGTCTCTCTTCAGAGACAAATATAAGTCTACGTTTACAAAACTGGATTTCCATACACAAAGATAAATAGATTCAGTTCATGGGATCGCCAAAGTATCTTACATCACAAAAGTGTCTTGAAACCAAAACAATAAATATATAAATGCTTATATTCAGAGATATTTGCATATACTATATCTACAGAGCATATATTTTATATATTATTACACATTGTATATATACTCTCAATGGCCATATAGCCTGGAATAAAAACCACTATGAAATAAACACTGAGGACACATATTTCTATCTGATATAAGAAAAGATTACCTAAGTGTTTAAGTATATTAATGTATTCATACATTACATGTTGATTCAACTGCATTCAACTGCACACATTACATGTTGATTGTTTCCTGTATGGTAGGCACTATTCTACACATATAATGATTTTGTTTTAAAAAGACAAATTTCCTGATCTATAAATCTGTCATTTTACTGAGGCAGATTAGAAAATAAATAAGAATTTTCTTTTAAGAAACAAGAAAAATTCTTGATAGTAATGAGTGATCTGAAGATGAAAAGCAGGACAATACAATAGACAGTATCTTGAGGGGAGTATTAGTTGGGTGGTCAGAGAATTTCAAAATGAGAAAAACCAGATAGACATGAACGTTCGGGTATAATATGTTGAGAAATTCTAAGGATGAGAGGGTTTCCCTGGTGGCTCAGTGAATAAGAATCCACCTGTCAATGAAGAAGACATGGGTTCGATTGTGATCCGGGAAGATCCCACATGCCTCAGAGGAATGAAGCTCGTGCACCGTAATTATTGAGTCTGTGCTCTAGAGCCCAGGAACCACAACTATTGAGCAATGCATCACAACTAATGAAGATAGCATGCCCCAGATGCCGTGCTCCACAAAAAGAGAAACCTGTGCACCGCAACTAGAGAAAGCCCCCACACATCAATGAAGACCCAGCACAGTCAAAAATAAATGAAGTGTATGGCTGAGTAATATTCCATGGTATATATGTACCACAGCTTCCTCATCCATTCGTCTGCTGATGGGCATCTAGGTTGCTTCCATGTCCTGGCTATTATAAACAGGACTGCGATGAACACGGGGGTGCACGTGTCTCTTTCAGATCTGGTTTCCTCTGTGTGTGTGCCCAGAAGTGGGATTGCTGGGTCATATGGCAGTTCTATTTCCAATATTCACATCAATGACAAAAACCACTACAATATTGTAAAGTAATTAGCTTCCAACTAATAAAAATAAATGAAATAAATAAATGAAGTGAATAAATTTTTTTAAAAAATTCTAAAGATGGGAAATTGAGCATAGCAAGAGAAAATACTAGAGAGGTAAGAAAAGGATTATGAAGGCTCTTGTATGCCATAGTGAGGCATTTGAAATTTGAGTTGAAGGCAATTGAAAATCACTGGAAGTTTTCAAGAAGGAAAGTGAGGCAATTCTTTTAGGAAGGATAATTCTTTTGGCAATATGCAAGAAGGCTATAACTCCTAAATTCAGTTTCTAAAACCCTTACAGTTTTGAAACTTCTTCCATATTATCAATTCTTTGACAAAATTATTTTGTGAATCTACTATACATATTAAACTCTTCCAGGCTATGGTATTATTATGAGATATTTCTCCTCTTAGAGATTATTTACTATTAAATTTGCCTCATAGTTTGTCTGTGGTGTGTGTGTCTATGAAAGAGAGAGACATGCAGACAGACAGAAGTTGATTTCTAAAATGAGACCAGATAATTTTATGAAAAAGAGAATGATTAATGTGAGGTCTGAATTTATAGGAAGTGCACACGAAAGGTTGAAAAAGAGTATTTGCTCTATCATATTAAGCAATTTTAAAAGACATAAAGAAAGAAAACAAAAACTCATTGATGCTTTGCTGAGTTTTCACTGAAAGTGGTAACAATGAGAGTTTCTCAGGTTTAGTCCCTCTGGAACATACAGTATGGATACAGTGAATTCTAAATCACTTCCAATAGAAGTTTTCCAATCAATAGAAATGATTACAGACTCCATATCAAAGGCTCCATGACTTGACTTATTAAAATATATTGTTCCCATTTGAACAAAATTGTTAATAGTAAATTTAATTATCTGTGCATCTTCAGAAAGAAATATTTTTCTCTACACAAAGCAGAAGCAAGAAAGCCAGTCTAAGTATTTCAATCGTCCAGGGAAAGAATAAGGCAGTCCATATTTGTAACTTATTTTGAACATCTAGATTTAATTTTTGAGAAACTTTTGAGTTATATTTGTAGTTCGTACATCATAAAGACAGTATCCCCAGCAGTTAAGAACTCATATTTTAGAGTCTGTTGGAATCCTGCCTCTGTGATTTATTAAGTTCATCACCCTGAAAAAATCGCTGCACCTCTTTAACCTTCAGTTCCTTCACATATTCAGCAGAAATCATGATAATGCCGAGCTCACAGAGTTGTTGTGACAAATTGCATAGAAAGTGCTTAGGTGCATGAGCAGCGCTGCTCCGAGCCCGCCAGCCACGGTCTCCGGCGCCAGCTACGCCGCTGCCACTGTCACTATGGCCCATTACAAAGCCGCCGACTTGAAGCGCGAGCAGTTCCGGAGGTACTT